CACGCAAAAAAGCAAATTTGATTGGCCCAAATAAATTACACAAAATTTTAAAGAAAAAAAAAGAATTTTATTTTTTAATGAAACTTCAACTAAATAAATTCTTGCATGTATCTTGCTAACCCAACATTTAACCAATTATAAAAAAGTGTGCAAGTTTTATCAAGTATATATTGAAGCAAATTTTTATTTATCTTATTTGAGGCATGGACAATAGAAACAAGGCCAACATCTATCAATCATAAATAACATTTTTTATTAGTGTGTACTTATCTAATATGTAAAAAATAAAAAAAATAATACATTACAACCACCTTTATGTCTCAAGTCAATCATACAGCATCCATGTGTAAATAACATTTTTATTAGTATGTACTTTCTGATATGTAATAAATAAAAAAAATAATATATATGTATACATTTATGACTACCTTTTATGTCTCAAGTCAATCATGTATAAATAACATTTTTTATTAGTGTACTTATTATTAAGGAAAGAGCGATTAACCACTTAGATTTTAATATCCCAATATGTAATAAATAATACATATGTATGTGTTGCTCTAGCACAATTACCTTTATGTCTAAAGAAATAAATGAAAAAGAATAAGTTTAATTGAATCATTAATTTTTGCACACCTTGGTAAAAAAATATGTATACTTTTTGGAATTTTTACCTCTTATTTAGATCTTGCAATCTGCTGGATTAACTGGGTTATTTTTAACCAAGCAAAGCTTTCAAAGGAAGGTATGTTCTTGCAAAACATTATTTGTTGTTACAATGTATTTCAGTCATGATATAAAAAAGATCGACGTTCAATTTTGTCACTTTGTGATAAATAGGATGTCCATTATGCTATTTCACACACTGCTGACTGGTGTTTTAACGAGATCACTACTTACTTTTGTTAATACCAGTTCAAATTATAAATTGTCCGAGGTCCTCTGGTGCGTGTCACACTATTTCTAAAAATTTACACGTGTAACCGGAAATGGCCAAAAATTTTTAATTAAAAATGGATAAAGAACATTCACCAAACTTATCTAGAGTACCAAAATGTTTTTGTAAACAACCCGCATCTGTTTGTCTATCTGAAAGATCAGGAACTCTTATTTACGATTGTCATTATGTTAAGCATGTTAATCCTTGGAATTCAGGTATTTTGCTAGAATATGACGATAAAAATAAAAAGACTATATTATGCACAGTTTTCAATTTAGCCAATTATCCTGGAAAGGTAAGAAGCAAATAACTTTCTCGAATTTACATGCAATAAATTATATTGGATATTGATTTTAAGAACATTTTCTTATTTAGGAAACTATTGAAAGATCCCCTCAATCCATTCCATTTACTACATCTACAAATTCACATTCATCTGCTATTTCATTTACTTCATCCATTTCATCCACACAAACCACAGAAATTATGAATAATAATAATAGTAATAATGATGATGACAATAATAACATTGATGATGTTGAATCGAGGTGTTGCAAAACAAAGGAGAATAGAATATGTGGTTTTCATGTACATCTACCATCATGGAATAAAATATGCAATGGAAGAATATTTAATGCGAATAATCGTGAACTTAGCACATGCCCTTTTTTTAACTTTACGTTTTGTGTAGAATTTCAAACTATAAATCAATACCCCATCAACATACCTTCTGTGCCAAGATGTTATTGTAAAAGACCAATTGTATTGACAAGAATTACTACACCTGGTAATATTGGAAGATGGTATATGGCTTGTGCAAGTTATCACGTTAGTGTGCACATATGTTTATATGAATATATTATATATATTTATTTTTATATAATTAAAAAAAATTATATTTTATTAGGTACCGGGAGCAAAGCCTAAATGTTCATTTTTTAAGTGGGCTGATGAAGTTTTATATGATAAAAATGACCAATGTTTTCATGATGATTTTTACAAATTTGAACAAGTATTTATTAGGGAACCAACTTATCAAAATTGGCGAAAAAGATTGGTTTGTAATATAAAACAAGAAATAGATGAGATTATAGCAAATGACAATGTTAATGTAAACACCAGCATCAACATCAATATCAACAACAACAACAACAACAACAACAACAACAACAACAACAACAACAACAACAACAACAACAACAACAACAACAACAATAATAGTAATAATAGTAATAATAATAGCAATAATAATAGCAGCGATGGTAATAATAATAATAAAAACAGCAGTGATAATCATGACGGCACTGATGGCAACAGAAACAACAATAAAATTTTTAAGGAGTGTAAGAGATGTAATCGATTAGCTAGAAAATGTTCAAACTGTTCGATAACAACAGTTTGTAATGCATGTAGTTTATTCATTTGCAAAAGATGCCCTCAAATCACAAGGAGATGTGAATTATGTGAAAAGTATTATTGTTCAAATAGATGTGTACATCCATGTAATAGATTAAATCGGCAAAATCGTTAGCGCAGGTTAAGCAAGTTAAATTAGATGGGTGGTGGATTACAGGTTAAGATTGGATCGGATATGATAATTGGATTATTGGGTAAATAGAACGAGTTTTGTTTTTGTTTTTAAAAAAATTTTGGGCTACTATTTAATTTAGAGAATCCAAAATACCAGTCAACTGTTATGATGGATGACATGCCTATATTATATGTTAAAAAGATATACACATTGATCGAGCATATACAATTAATTATATGTATATAGTAATAATTCATTAATTTTTTCTACTTGAAATGACATACTTGGAAATGAAATAATTTACAAAAAAGTATCACTAAGATTATCATTTCTTGCAAACAAAATTAATAATATTCTTAAATCTTAATCCTTTGTCCTTTTTTTATTTTCTTCCCTTCTTCCTTTTCCCTCGATTTTTTCCTTTCCCTCAATTTCTTTCTTTCCCTCAATTTCCTTATTCCCGTCGATTTTCTTTCTTTTAAAAATAATGGATTTTTCCCTTTATTTCTTTTTTTTATATTTTTTAATAATCAATAATAATAATAATAATAATTAACAACAATAATAAAAATGATTTCAATAAAATTTAACAGTTTTTTAATATCAGCAATTTTAATAACAATTTTATCAACAACAAATTTTGTTGATTGTCAAGCACCAGGAACAGGAGTATGGCCTCCAATTGATACTCCCCCACCATTTGATGACTCCTGGGCAACAGTAGTTGACTTTACTGTAGTACCAGATGCTCCAGTTTCTACAGAGTATGGTGATTGTCCTGCCGTTGATACCTTTTGTTCATGGACTTGTACAAAATGTATTAAACCTGAAGATGTTGTCACCTGTCCTACTGTTAAAGGCAATTGATAAATTCTAGATTAATTTATTTAAATAAATAGATTAAATATAAACTTTAACTGTCTGTATACTAACTAACCACTTTGTTAATTATCGACCAATCAATTCTCACAATTGATTAATCAATTAATTAGATTGGGCATTCACTTTCGATGACGGGCCTACGTGAGCATTGTTATTGTTGTCGTTATTATTATTTACATTATTTACATTATTTACATTACATTATTAACTAAATTTGCTTTTTTTTTTCTATAAATTATTATTTAATAGGACTGCCACTACAACATTACTTGATTATTTGGATACAATTAATGTCAATGTGACTTTCTTTGTTGTAGGTTCACGTGTGATAACCAATCCTCAAATATTAAAAAGAGCTGTTGATTCTGGTAAGTGTTTCTACTATTTATATATATTAAATATCAAATTACCGTGCACACGCCATAAACAATTATACTAATTAACTAATTTGTTAACAGGTCATCAAATTGGTATTCATACTTGGTCACACACAGCCTTAACAACTCAAACCAATGAAGAAATCGTTTCCGAAATCAAATGGACAGAACGTGCAATTCAAAACTATGCCGGCGTAACTCCTAATTTACTTAGACCACCACAAGGTGATTACGATGATCGTATTAGAGATATAGCCAGACAATTAGGCTACACAATCGTATTATGGGAATTGGATTCCTTCGACTGGATGGTTGTACAAGATACTACATATCCTGTTGAATATATCACCGGTAATTTCACTGCATGGGCCGACAACACTACAGCTAAAGCTGGTCATCTCAAATTAGGACATGATCTTTATGAAGAGACTGTTGACTTGGCTCCCCAATATTTCCCTATAGTCACTGGCAAAGGTTTCAATGTTAAGACAGTTGGTGGTTGTATAAACAAACCAGACTTTAACCCATTAGTTAGTGCTACAACAACTACTTCTGCCGACGTTGCCGCAACCACTACACCTGCTGCACCAACCAAAAGAAAACGCCAACTCTTTAAAAAAAGATTAACAGATATTTAAAGGCTAGAAGGACTTAAAAATATCTAATTTTAAATTATTTATTTATTTAATTTAATTATAATAATACGACCCTTTTTTTTTATTAATAATGAATTCACGTGATACGCAAAAAATAAAATAAATAAAATTGATAATCTTCAATACAATAAATGATTCTCCACAATATTAATAGTTTCTTGAATTTTACAAAATCAATAAATCTTTAACCACTGAATTGGCACAAAATATGGTTATAAAAGAAAAATATGATTGGCTGACTGATATATAAAAAAATGAGATTACCTAATAAAAATATACAGTTAACTAATTGGAGCTTAATTAAGCATTATATTTTTATGATTTTAGAATTAATGTTTATGATTATATGTGATCATGTGATTCAATACAAAACTCCAAGAAATGTATATATATCCATCATATTAATAAGAATACTTCAAATGACTTTTATAAAAAATTTATGCCATTTAAAGGTTGGATATTATCTTAGTTAACAGTGAATATCATTGATTTAAAAAGGTCAAAAGAATAGAAAAAGTGTCATTCTACCTTATGAATTTTTTTGGAAATTGATCCTTCAAGTAAAGATGGCTCCTCAATTAATTGCGGCATATGAAAATTGAATTGTGGCTAATTGCGGTTCCCATATTTATCTTCAAGGGCTAAAGATATATTTTCTAAATCAGTTTTTGAGGATAAATGTAATTATATTGAATAAACTGT